TCTTTGTTAGAATATTTATTGCATTGCAATAAAAACTATTTCAAACAATTGAACACACAAGAAGAATACCCAGATTATATTAATTATATAGCAGATAGTATTTCGAAAAAAAAGAAAAAGAGTCGAAGGCAATACATGTAGGGCTAAAAAGTAGAATTAACCCTTTTTTTTAAATGCAAGTTATCAATATTGAATTAATAATTGTGGTTTCAACTAAAATTTTAATGTATATTACTTATAGTACGTGCAACAATTTGTTATTTGATATTTAGACAGTAAAGCATCACAAAAAGAGAAAAAATTAAAAGGACACATAATTAGATTAGAATTATAATAAGTATTAGAACTGTTTAATCACATAAAAAATATTTCATAGTTTCGGTCTTAGGTAATGCCGGCAATTAACACACTAAAATGGTTCTAATCAATCTGTCATTATATATATATATATAATTTTTTTAAAATTAACTAGACACCAAGAGCAACAACAATAATGATCCAGATAATTCACGATCCAGCCCAGTCATGATCCAGACAGACCAGCCGTCAAAATACTTGAGCTCACAGGTACTAAAATCTTGTATAATTTAAAAACTTTAATAGTTCAAAAGAACTTTATTTATTTTTCAGCATAGTAAATCACTATTAGGCCTTCAAAGTTGATTAGCTGTTTACTGTCAATATTTGAGCTCGGGCACCAGAAGGGAGGGGAAGATTCAATAGAAGATTTAATTAAATATTATTGTCAATTTTAATTACATTATTCCTGAAAATAAATGAAAAGTACTATCGCTATTCAAAGGTTGGGTCATAAGATCATGTGATTGCGATCTTGATTAATGGAGTTCGCATACGTAGGATTTTAGATGTCGAGAATTTTAGTATTGTCAAGATTTTATCAGGATTATTGATTATGGGATTTGATAATCTGGATTCGGTGACAAATCCAGACTATAGTGGTTTATACAACCTAAAATTTTTTTATAAAAATTATTTCCGGTATCCGGATTACTATTAATATATCGATATTTTTTTTTAATCTGGCTAAGAAACTTTTACACTGACAAGATAAATGATAATAATCTATGAAATTTTATATGAATAGAAATCATCTATCTAACTATACAAATATTTAATTCGTTATAGGAGGAGTTTGGTATAAACCGAGTTGATTGTAGGATGCTTATCTTAGCATTAACAAATTCCCAACTTCTGTTCTGTCGGAGGCTTTCCGTGTTTAATCTTCTCACCTTGTTGTTTATTTGATAACTTTTTTTTTCTTCTTTATCAAAGCCGAATTCTTCATGTTTTTTTCGAAGCTTGCTTAATATATCTAATGAGAGGTGGTTGAAGAGGACTGACTAGTTATGATACTTGTTAAAGAGCTAACCTCTCTATCGTTTTCAGGTGAGATGGTTTCATCAGCATTTTCGATCTAACATAATATGTTAAAATGAATCGATTCATAAAATTTTCTAATTTTATTGCAAATTTGAAAAAAATAAAAACCTCTATTATTTCTTCTAAAATGTTCATGTAAATTTCAGCTAACGGGACTCGATTATGTCGTTGTGAAGGATTTAATGCATTTTTAAATACTCTTTGCTGAAAATTTCTATATTCATCGGAATTTGAAAAGGTTCTTTTAACGGGATCGTAATTCTCCTTATTCGAATTATTTAATTCCATTTTTTGGTTGTTAGAAATTTTAAGTGTTTTTGTTTCAAGACTGAGGGAAAAAAGAGAAAAATACTTTATTTTTAAAATTTTAAAAACTAGTTTCATACCATAGCAGAATCGCCTGGAGATGACTCCGGGCATGTTCCCTTATTGACCTAATAAAGATGGTATACATGATAAGCGCAGACAAAATTTACAGTATTATTTCCGAAAATATTATTATTTTCGAAAATACTGCATTCAATTGACTCGTTAATTCTACCAAACT